TTAGAAAAGTTCACATTGTGTAGGGCTGTCCGTGTGAAAAGGGCTGTCGAGCCACCATACCCATATGGGAGTCCCTTCCTTCTTAATGACATGCTATCAATGAGTACGTTCAGGGCCTCAAGAATGCCATCCTTCCGTATCTTACGGTCTTTGGACTTAGCGCAGTGCTCAAAATCAGTCCCTGTGAGGGAATCTATCATCCTTCGAAACACTTACTCTTTCAGTGTTCCCTTCCCACTCCAGATGTCCATCATATCCTTCGGCTTTAATTTCCTGAAAATCTGTAGTGACTCATACGAATTTTCTTCGTGTAAGTATAGTAAATGTTTTCCTGAGGCTGTGTTTTACACCAGAAAGTAATGCTGTAGGTTACTCACAAAGTAGTTCTCCGGGACTTTGAGTTTTCCGAGTGCTTTCTTGCCTAACACGTAGCCAGCGTTGGCAATGCTAGAACTTCATAGTAGAGTATGTCAAATGCAGGAAGCACTACGTTCTTGAAACATGCGAAACTCATGAGTGGTGGAAATAGGGACGAAACCTGCGAATAAAGCCCCAGAGATATCCCCATCAGCCCCATAAACTAATGGTCATGATCACGGCACTGTTTATAATCCTTTTATGCCTCCCTAATATGAACTTGATGCCAATAAAGAAGGAAAGAGAATGGAAAACTACAGTAGAAGGGGATTTGAACGAACGTTCGATATCCGTTGAGGTGGAACAGTATGGGCGATGTGATATCGAAATGATACGGCCATGATAAGAATACCATACGTTTCATTTTCCATTAGCACCCACATTATCATGCCAGCTATCCTTGAAAGAGAAGGTTCCATCTAGCAAATATCTCGTCCAAAACGGATCTTTAAGGTCGAGAAGGTTTGGCTTAATGCCAACTTTAACAATCTTCCCCGCCTACATCCAACATCAGGCTACGGAAAGACTGGGCTTGAAACATACTCTGTGGGCCTATGGGGATCTATGATAAACAGATGTAGTAAGAAACTATACAGGAAATCACCACAGCTTAAATCCATAGTCTTCGTCCAACTGAGCAACGAGGAAGGCCGTGAGGATTGATTCGGACATGTATCAGAGAGTTGACGGACCACTGTAGGCTCGCTACGGTGGGTAGGTCAACTAGTCAATGAGCCCTCTGCGTCTCCGCCCACCAGCCGCGCGGCGAAACTCCTGTGCTGTACCCGGATGAACTCCATCTCATCTAGACACTCTCCCTTCGAGTTTTCATGTGAAGTTTGAAGAATTCCCGAACGCGATTCTTGTCTGCCCTGATTGAGAGAATGGCAGAAGAAATGTTGACCGGCCTTACCTGAGACCAACCCCTACCTGTACCATACTCAACCTATCGAAAGCATTGAAGTGAAATGAACTCACTTGCGCATAACTAGTTTGACCATCTTTGCTGCAATAGGAAATACAAATGCAACCCACCCCACAGGCTTCGCCCAACATATCTAATCAGTAGACGATCTCCCATCAAGTTCGAAAACACCACAAGGTTCATGAAGATGTCAAAAGTAATAGGATAGTAGCTGAAGCACGATGGACAGAATCAGTTAGCTCATAATCAGAAAAGATTAGGAAAGCTTTTCAATGGCAAATGACCATGTCCAAAGCAGATTGGCTCAGTAAATATGGCCTTTTTACGGCTTCCTACTTTTCTTAAGAGCCTGGTTCCAATGCCGTTTCCAGATCTTTCATGTCATCATATTTTCTACAAACGTTTTGGTTGTGCGTAATACAAAATCGAAATTCTGACTGCCTTACTCCGATGGCTTTTTGGTGTTTTCGGGAGTCACCATTGGTTTCTGATGGCCATAGAAATGACAGAAATCTCGGTTTATTGGCGCATTTAATCAGCTACGTAATGGGCATACAAAGTGCAATGCACTGCGGCCACTGCAACGATGACAAACTAAGACCATTCAGAGGAATAACCAATCTGACTTCAGCTATAGCTATAAATACCATAAGAAACTTCGTCGGTTGCACAGGACGACCTCACACACAAAGTCATCAGTTCAAGACTTTTGGGTGAGAAAATGGAATGGTTGGGACCGTTTAGACGGTCACGTAGTTCTGCAGATAATGCACATTCTGTGGTCCGTAGAATATTGAATACAGTAATTGCTCACACCAAAAGAGGACGCTGAATAACACAATTTAAAACAACAACAACATCAACAACAAAGGGGTGATGAGCAAGTCAACCACAATATCCTTGGGGTTTTGGTCACAGCCACAGCCAGCTATTCAGCTCAGGACCCACAGGCGGGATTACTGTGTCAAAAAAACACGCGAAGCTTGATATATAACTGTTCTGCTGTGTAGGCATTCATTCTGAAGTCTTCTCATAGTTGAGAAGGGGGTTACCATTTTTTTCAAATCACGTTCTAACCCCACAGATGCCACAGAGCGTGATATTTCTTGAGAAGGAAAACCAAATTAGGTTCACGACTGTAATTCTATGTTTTACTGAGGAATTCCGTTGATAGGAATCGTTCGGCCACTCGACATCAGTGGAACGTCATCGGTTGGTTGAGTGGCTGAATGATATGGCGATTTTTTCCACCAAAAAATTTGTCGGGTTGGTTACACCTTCATTCCATATCGGTGCCTATTCCTATTGAACACAGGAAGGCACTAACGTCCGGGAAGAGCCTATGATTTATTGAATCCGATGAAATGAAGGAGTGCCGACAAGTACACCCTTGAAAGTGACTACCAAGAGAAAGAGAAGAAGAACGTCCAGCATCTCTTCATATCTCTGAAATACCTCGAAGTATCGACTACGCTCTAGTAGAAGGATGATTTCCATACTGATCCCAGTGAATCCCTAACGCCACGGTTGTCTGGGGTAAGCGCTTATCGCAGAAAACTGTCTCCTTACTCACTAATTCCTTCAATTGCTTGAACTTCACTATTACTTCTCCCATCCCATTCCTACACGCTAGGTTCCCATCACAGAATAGTGACACAGACTTGATTGATCTTGAAGAAAATGTAGACCTGGTGAAAAAGCAGTTTCGCTAGAAGTCTCCCGGGAAGGCGGCCATTATCCTCTCTTCACTCTTTCCCAGGAGCCGACTTCTCTTCGCAGCTATCCCAGGTGTTACCCTCCCCATCGAGGTCAGGTATGGCTCTACGGCTTATATCTTGACGCCTATTTGACCTAAGGTACGTAGTTTTTTAGATTCATTGGGCCAGAAACATTCTAAATTCGAAAAGAATCGTGTTTCAGAAGCAAGCTGACTGCCGCTTATGGGAAGGCGACATACATCTGAGATTGTAGCCTGAACTAAACTGATATTGAGTACTGATTGACGATGCTTCCAAAGTCAGAGCCATGCTTTCCATTTTTTGGAAGGCTCTGATTTGAATTCACACTTGGTGACTAGGGTCAGGGAACGAATTTCGGTCTGATACCCGCTTGGACCAACCAAATCTCCCATCCTTTCGTGATCAGCTCAGTGGTGTCAGACTTGTCTGGAAAGGTAAAAGCAGTGGCCGGTACATGGGCACATGACACACGCAATCAAACGCCGCTACAATTCTTAATGGAAGCTGAACGCGAGGCGCAACCCATAGAAGGGATTGGTTAACTCTAAAAACTTCACCCTTCTGTTATTTCCTGTTCTATTACTCCATCATGTCACTCCCTTACGGCCTTGCAACAGTCCTCGCAACAGAATTCCATGGTAGCGATTGGCTGACCTGGTTTCTTTCTACGCAGCCTACTAATTACCTAAAATTTCGAAGCCATAGGTGGGGTTTCAAAGATGACAACACGTTTAGCGGAAGACACTATTAATGGATGGTTTCAAGGTTACAACATACGCAATCCCAATGTCATTTACGACACCACTCGATATCATCTCCATTCAATGAAGTAGTAGATGTTAGGGATAGTGATTGGACTGGTTCCTACATCGCGTTTTCCTTATATTTCTGTACATGATCGAATTCGGTGGCATGACATCATCTTGGAGCAATTCCCAAACAGAAAACCCGAGTTTCCCATTCTTCTCAGGTCAGGTTGAGGTTTTGCCCGGGTTTTTCAGGTTTTTAGGTCCGTTGGCTTGGACAGCTCCTGAAAGGGCTAAGGACGCCTCCATCACTGCCCCACACTTCTTAACCTTCTTTTTTTAAGGCAGAACTTGGCTTGAACTAAAAGTCACGCTGTTGGCAAATCCATCATCATAAGATTGAAATTCTGGAAGGAATTCCCATAAATCCTCTGACAGTTTTTCCACAAGGGCCCGTGAAGTGGTACTAGACTCCCAGTTTGGCAGAAGAAAACCCTCAGTCTGTACGCCGGCTGGTTCTTTAGGGTCATTGAAAAGCCAAGAACACCTATAGTAAATATTAATAGGAAACTTAGAGAGGAAGTCCCATGCACGGCGCATCCTTGGAAAAACCCTCAATGCGATAAGATAACAATTTTCTATGCTTGTAATTCCCGCTTTTTGATTTTAATTTGGATTTTCAGATCTAAATGGAATAAATGGTTCCGTTCCCTCAAAATCAAGTGGCTACCGGGAATTCTGATTGAGTTGGCAGCTCCCTGTGATGTCGAGAACTGGCAGACTCCATCCGAACAGTTTGCAGATATCACCAGCCGGATGTATGGTGTCGGGTCCGGGGGTGCTGGGTGTGGGTGTCGGCCCGATTCACCTCAGCGACCTCCGCCAAATGATCCCCGTATCTATCAGCGACTGTTGGTCGGTTGGTATGCGATCACTATCGTCATCGTTTCCTTCACGCATAACCGAATCTGTCACCTCTCCACCACTAGGACCCCCCGCATTGTATGTTCCATTTCACGGCTTGTCCAAGGCCTTTTCTATTGTTTTTGGTTATTTTGTTTATTACTTACTGCGTTAGACCAATAGGCAGAAGTCCATGTAGCCCTAGCCTATCCGGAACGGAAACGAAAAAAAGAAAAATAGTCCGGGAATATGACTAAGCAAATGGGAATGTCGCTGAAATCGCAGAGGCGACATCGTAGTTGAACTTCTTTCATTCCCTTTCTATTTCTGGACGACTTTTGACTCTCTGAAGCACTTTCTGAACTATTTCAGCGAACACTTAAGGGCCGTTAGGCCTCCATTGACAGAACTGTCACCAAGTGAATTTGAGTGTGGGAGTAATAATAGCACTTGAGTTCACCTACCTGCGCCGCCTCCCCGTTCTCCATAGCCCAAATTTCGCCGCACGATCGATTTCTATACATCGAGTTTTACTGGAAAGTCACATGTATCGACGCCTTTTCACTGGAACGGCCATACCTATTAAACATGAACCTTTGCAGAGCTACTACTGATATCGATTTTACTTTTTACTCATCTCTAATCGATTGATTTGTTTACTAGAGTGTTATTAAGAACCTCCCAGTGGCGTCTGGGTGTATGACGGATTATGTATCAATTTGGTATACTTCAGAGATGGCATATTTATTTTTTTTTAAATTTTTTACTTATTTCCCGACTTGCATTCCATTTTCCAGGGCCATCGAAATCTGCCTGTACTTTTTTCATCTTTCGTTCTGGGCTGCCAATCCACTCACTCTTTGCAACCCATTTTTCAAGACTAGGCGGGGTTAAAAATTGGACCTAATGTCGTATAACATGAGCTGGATGTTTCTCATGCATCATCAGGATTTGATTTCTCTTGAGACTTGTCTATAGGAGTTGTCTACTAATAGTGTAATGAATGAGCTGGGAGGGATGGAACCTGTTTGAGGTCGAACGTTTTGCATAA